ATTATCTGTTTAATAGTTTCTGTTCTAATCATATTCACCGGCTTTGATCTATAATATACAACTAGAGTATATTGCCTACCCTTTCAATGTTACCTTATGAGATATCGCTGCAAACCTGATCTACTTCAATTGTTTTTTAAATTTTGATATTTTTAGATTTATGGCTGTTTAAGTCTTTAATATGATCTATAAAAAAAAGGGGTCTTTAATATGATTAATGGTAAAAGACAAAAGCTTGAAACGGTGGAGTATTTGTGTCAAAAGATTCCTGATGATGATTTCAAAACTTCCATGAATGATGAAGCTTATTTGAGAATTTTGAGTAAGAAATGTAGGGTCAAATACGTAGGTTGAAATCAAAACGTAGATGCTTTATTTGCATTTGCTGGTATTCAGACAAACATGTTACATTCCTGCTATTTGAACCAGTTCACCTTTGGTTGAATAGTTATATGTGTATTATTCTACATTAAGTAGCAGGATAGAAAAGGGTATTTCTTTCCTTTTGTTTAGTTGGAAGTCTATCAAGCAAAAGATTAATTTCAAAGGTCAATGGTTTATCTTTTATTTGTGTAGCCATGGGGACAAATCTGTTTGCATTGCTGTTCTTATTGAGCTTTTTTATTAAATTCCTGTTGGTGATATGTTGCAAAACTATATAGGAGGAATATGATACTCATGATCCAAAAGGGCATTGTTCGATGGTATTACCATTTCTGAGGAAGAGGTCAAAGATTATAGAGATTGTAGCTGCACGAGACATTGTCTTTGCTCTTGCCCAGTCTGGTGTATGTGCGACATTTAGCCGAGGTAGGAGCTGTGTTTCACACTTCTAAACTTATTTTGCATGGGCTTGCCTATTTCTATTTGCATCAATAATTAGAATGGGAATTTTGATATTTTATTGTTTTGGATGCAGAGGCTAATCAAAGAATATGCTTTCTAAACATCACTGCTGATGAAGTTATAAGAAGCTTGTTTTATAATAAAAACAATGACTCACTTATCACAGTCTCAGTTTACGCTTCAGACAATTTCAGCTCTTTGAAATGCAGAAGCACAAGGATTGAGTGTGTCAATCTTTTTAACCTCTTTACAACACTTATCTTATCCAATTTGAGCCGAAAGGAGAAAAAGGGAAAAAATCTAAGAAAAAACATGAAATACTGCATCTGGGCATTGTAATTTGTAATTTGCATTTGTTTTCTTCTGAAACAATTCTGTTTGACGAACAGATACATACGGAGAGGTCAACCTGATGCTGGTTTTGCCCTTTTTGAATCCGAGTCACTGAAGTGGCCTGGTTTTGTGGAATTTGATGATGTAAATGGGAAGGTACTTTCATATTCTGCACAGGATAGGTAAGTAATCATCCATATGACTGTGCTTTTGTGCTAAAATATAATAATTGGATCCTCAACTAGATTCATGAGTTTTGACATACTGTTTTTTGTCTTTTAATCAGCATATACAAGGTGTTTGACCTAAAAAATTATACGATGCTATACTCAATATCGGATAAAAATGTTCAAGAGATTAAGATCAGGTAATGCTCCTTTCATGATGGTTATATCTTCTTGCTACAAAAATAAAGATTAACTCATTGATAGAAAAAATAAAAAGAAACCTTTCTGATTTCTTTATTCTTCTGTTATAAGTATTGTTTAGTCCAAACAAGCTTTCGCCTTCTCCTGGAAGCAAAAATAAAGTACTGAGAGTAAAAATCAAATGATGCCCATAACTTGTTTGCTTTTGATTTTGTCACTTAAATTAATTGACTTTGTTTCCATCATTTTTTTTTTGACAGTCCAGGGATCATGTTATTGATTTTCACTAAAGTTGGTGGCCATGTTCCTCTTAAGATTCTCTCAATAGAGGATGGTACTGTTCTGAAATCTTTTAGCCATCTTCTTCACCAGAATAAGAAGGTGGATTTCATTGAACAGTTCAATGAAAAGCTTCTTGTGAAGCAGGAAAATGAAAAACCTCCAAATTCTTGATGTAAGTATCATTGTCAATTTATTGCAATCTCATGCATTTTTAAAAGCTAAAAAATCAAAACTGTCATTGTGCAGGTCCGCAATTCTGAGCTAACAGAAGTTAGCAAATGAATTTATGACCCGTCGGCATTCATATTTCTGTATGAGAACCAGTTATTCCTTACATTTAGAAATCGCAACGGTGGCTGTCTGGAACGTCGTGGAGAACTTGTAAACTTCATTTGAGGATCACCTTTTGTGGCATCCTGATTGCAACACTAATAATATATACATCACAAGTGATCAAGATCTTATTATCTCTTACTGCAAGGCTGATTCTGATGATCCATTGTCTGAAGGAAATGGTTTGTTTTTTTCTTTCTTTAAAACTTATTCCATCTTACATTTTCTTAGAATCTCTAGCTGCTCTTCCTCCTATAGATAACTGTATCTCTCCTTTAAATAGTATTTTGGCTATAGCCTTTCTGTCCATTTGAATTTTGATCTGAGTTCAGATTTAGCTTGTTATTTTGATAAACTGTTTCCATAAAGGTTATAGAAATAAAAAGTAGAAACCACCAGTTGCAAAAGAATACTATCCAGTAAACATTAAATTTAATACATCATTGAAGGGTTTTTTGTATCATCAATTTTGCATTACATTGTAAAGGGCTCTATAATATTGCTTGGGTATCTTAATGATTTCTTTTTTTAAAAAATGATTTAAAAAGGCTTGTTGAGTTGTTCTATGTTTATTGTTTGTTGGCTTTTTGGCAAATTATGTGTTTTTATGGGTTTTTTGGGCTTGGCTAGCTTTTTCAATTGGAATGTGGAAAATTTTCATCATTTCCTTGGTCGTTTTGAAGGGAAATGTACATGTTCAAATTTACTGTATAACAACTAAAGCGAGGAGAGAAAGGGAAATGGGGAGTTGGGGGAGGGGGAGGGGGGAACAGGGAGGATGTGATGGTATGCTTTTGTAGAGACATGGAAAGTGTGGAAAAGATCTCATCTGGATTTGTTTCACCGATATATGTGCATCTAATGAATTTTTTACGTCCCTGGTGTGGCAGGATCCATTAATATCAGCAATATATTGACTGGGAAATGTCTTGCTAAAATAAGAGCAAGCAACAGTTTCCCTGTGGAAAAACAATGCAGCTGCAGTGTCAAGTGTGGTTGCAGATCAAAGAAGCAGAGCACTGCATCCAGGATTAGAAGCACGGTTGCAGAAGCACTGGAAGACATCACTGCTCTTTTTTATGATGAAGAGCGCAATGAGATTTATACAGGTAATAGGCATGGTCTAGTTCATGTGTGGTCTAACTGATGGTTTGATTTTCATTAGAATTTATGTAATTTTAGTTGCTGGAGGTTGAGTTGGTTGTGAATGGGCATTATGAGACTCATGACACGAAACTGTACCATTATTAAGTGTTAATTGTATCAATTCATTTAGTTTATGTTTTAAATTCAGTCATTTTCTTGCTTTGATTTTTGGTGCTGTGTGGGAGTGTGTAAATTGTTGGTTTATGTATGAATTATGATTTTATGATGTTGATGGAGATGCATTTTATTTGGGGTAATATGCTAAATCACTAAAGGGAGGGATGGAGTGAAGCATTTGCTGGGCTCTATGCCCCGTCTTCGACTATGAATGGATGAATGTAATGAAGGCATGTCTTTTGAATCCCCTAAACTTGAATGATGAGCAAAGCAAAGCAAGCGTGGAATAGAAGAAGAGCAGCAGAAAGGGAGAAGGGGGTCTGTAACATTTTGGTATGCATTGCTATTGCTTGTTTGTTTGTTTGTGTTAGATGAGATGAGGAGGACATAGATATTGCTTAGTATTAGTAGGAGGAGGAAAGATGAAGAATCAGATATTCCGTGGCGTGTGGGGGTTGAGAGTTATAATGTGTTGGATGGAAATGGAAGTTGCAAGTTGCAAGTTGCAAGGGACACAGGGAAAGAGAACGTGCGAATGTGCTTTACGAATGGCCAGTCAAGCCAAGACAACAATGTTGTTCAAGGTGGATTTATAATTCGTGGGTTTACAACCAGTAAAACATTAAAATTTTATATATTTATCGTTTTTTATATAAAAATTATATATTATAATATATTTTGATATAAAAAATATAAATTAAATTATTTTTTATCGTACTATATTATAAACTATAAAAAAATAATAATAAAAGATCATTAATTAATTATTATGGTCACGTGGGTTCTTCGCGTGCTTTGCACTTTTCTATTTTTCATCAGCTCCTATCTATTTTTATTTACTATTTACTATTTACTATTTATATTTTATATAGCTAGACGTTCAAATTGTTTGGTTGTTGCATATAAAAAATTTCAAAATTTTGAGCACTTTTTTCAGATTTAAATTGTATTTGAAATGTGAAAAAGCAAAGAAAAATGAGGTACTCCATAGCAGATGGGAAAAAAAATACACAAAAATGAAATAAAGAAAAAGGATGTAGAAGCAAATTGATTTAAAAAAAAAAAAAAAAGATTTGAGTTGGAAGTAATGGAGCGTGAGATGACGCGAGTGGCTTTGGCGACAACAGCTTGGTAATGATGAAGTAATTATTATTACTAGGGTAGATGAAGAAACGCGCCTACTGCCTTTGCCTGTAATCTCCACTCTACAACACACGGGACACTGCCGACTGGACTGCTCTTCTTCCTTTTATTTCATCTCCACGCTATCTTTTACTCTGCCCGTTTTTGTTTGCAAGTAATTCAACTTTTATGTACTACATCTATTACAATTAGCATTATTGGATCCCAATTTACAAGTAATAATAATCGTAACTAACATTATTATTACTATTTCTTTACCATAAAAACACAATAAAATATAAACTAAAGTTAGATTCAGTTGACTTAAAATTTTTATTAATATTTAAAAATTATAAATTCAAATAAATTTATATCTATGCCTAACATTCTTTTATTATAAAATTAGATCAGGGGTAGATTAGAAAATTAAAAAAAAAAAAAAAAAAACTTATTTCCAGTTAGTATTTCACCAGGTTCTTATCGTTTTATTTACATTTTTTCATTCTGCTCAGTTTGTTGTTGGAAATTCCCACTTTCCATTCACCCCTTGTACTTTCTCAGATTCCTATATATTGTTGGTTCAACGGATTTGTTGGATACCGCTAAAGTTATTGAAGGTGAGATGTCTCAGTTGGAGGAAGCCAGAAAGTTTCATCTTTCTCTATATGCTCAGGTAAATATCATGTCTCCTAATTGTCTGGATATTTAATTATGCATGAGCTCTCCTCACTAACAAGAGTTTCATCTTCTCAGGGTCATCAAGATCATATTTAAAGTAGCGAAAAAGGTAAATCTCATGTTCAATGCAATTTAAAGTCGGACACTGTTCATTACATTGATATATTCTCTGTTTAGTATTGTTTTGATTAAGGTTTCTTCTTTTTCAAATGATTGAGGACATAAGTGGTGTCTCTTTTCTGTCTTGCCAATCTCCTTAATTCTGTGGTGCACTTGCGCCCTTGGTATCTAAAAGCCTCGAGAGTTTTAATTGTTCTCTTTCCTTGTTGAACAGATATATGCAACTCAATAGACATGGTCCCAACATCCAAAGTAAATGCCATTCTTTACAACTTTTTTTGTCAATTTTTCCTCTAGGTCCGTTAGAAGTTGATCTTATGATTCTACATAATACTTCACCATACTTTTATTGTGGCCACTAATATATGCATTTGACCTCGGCAGTTCGAAGTCCAGAATTCATCATCAGAAACTTCAAAGTATGTTCACTCCATTAATATTAATATTAATATAATATATATTTAGTTTGTTAGTCTGTTTTAGTTCTCCTGCAAATCCAACCAACCTTTGGAAAGTGCATTGCTAGGAATGAGCTCTTACGTGCTATGGAATCAAGACTTATAGCGTTAAGAAGTGAGTTAGTTGCAGCTTTTAACCAGGCGGTTGGAGAAACCTGCTCCTACAAAGAAATCTCTCATCTGGCAAATTTTTCTGAAAACTTTGGGGCAAATGATGTAAAGTAAGTTGCCTTCCAAAAAAAAAGTGCATGGATCTTTTAAATCATAATTTGCCCAAAGAATTTGTAACTGCAATCTTCTTTTACATCCCAAAATTTTTACAACACTTGATGAAATGATTTATAAGCAACAAATAATCTTGTTAATATCTACTGCAGGAATTTTTTGTGCATGTTTCTAGAGCCGAGCCAAAAGCACCAAATTGCAGATCCCCCAGATGATAAAATGTCTTCATCTGCTCGTGCTTCAGTTAATGGCAGCATAAACAAGACTGATGGAAGTAAACAAATATCAAAGCTAGTAAGTTCAGAAGCACCGGTTAAATACGGTGTTTCACTAGCAAAAGTTGCCCAGGTTGAGCGTCAGACCTCAACAGAAAGTGAGGAATCTTCTGACTCATGTGACGAGAATCAAATGTCTGCAGAAAGAAGTCGAACTCTTATAAGATCTGCAACGCCTAGACGGTCAGCATCTCCTATGCGAAGGGTTCAAATAGGGAGGAGTGGCTCTCGTAGAGCCCCTGCTCTGACCATAAAGAGCCTTAGTTACTTTCCTGCTAGAGAAAAGATATTGTCTCAAAGAGATGTAGCTTCAGATGATAGCGAAGAGGAAGGATCTGAACACATTAAGAAACCTGAGAATAATGTTCGGCGTATGAGTGTTCAAGATGCAATAAATCTTTTTGAAAGTAAACAAAGGGATCAGATTACTGATGTTCCAAAAAAGAACTCATTAACAAATATCTCTCTTGGTCCTAGTAAGTCTGTATTGAGAAGATGGAGTACAGGTATGGGCGAATCCTCCTCCAAATGCCAATCACAGAATGCTTCTGAATATCCTGTTGCAGAGCCTCCTGATAATGTCATTGATAGTGATATCATACAGAGGTCAGCAGAAGTTAATTTGGAATCTGCTACTAGGACCGGAGCAGAAAACATCAATGAGACTGCTGATCTGAAGTTAGAAAGGCTGGAAGAGAGCTCATGTACTCCAATAGATGTTCAAGACGTAACAGATATAATCCATGAAGAGGAAGCTAACGAGAAGTCAAAAGGCTCAGCTGAATGGAGTCGACAGAAGGAAGTGGAGTTGAACCAAATGTTCAAAAAAGTGATGGAAAAGCAGCCTGATAGCTGTTGGAAGCCTCAAACGAAAGTCAGAAAAAATCTGCCTCCAGAGCAGAGAGGTGGATTTTTTTTACTATTACAAGGAGACGAGGGATGAAAAACTTAGAGGAGAGAATACTGGAAAGCGTGCTGAAAAAGAAGCAAAATTTAGAGCAATGCAGAAAATTCTTGAAGAAAGGAAAGCAGAAATGGCTTCCACAACCGTGAATAATTTTTGTAAAAAGGATCCTCCGGCGAAAACCCAAAAATCTGTTAAGAATTCCCAAAAGTTGCTAAAGAATCCTTCTCAGCCTGCTAATAAAAGGAAGGAAACCACAAAACCTTCAACTGCAAAGAAGGTTTCATCGAGAACATCCCCCTTGCCTGCTACTCGTAAGTCATGGCCTTCAACACCATCTCCGAGAACAACAGGAACATCACCAGCTAAAACTTCCGGTGGAATCTCTTCTGCTGGCACTACACCAACACGGCGGAATCCTCAGTCAGCACAATCAGTACCTCGACCAAGTTCTAAAGTGGAAAGTTCCCAGCCACACCGAAGAAATGTGAAGGCAACCCAGACTGATAAACGAGGTTTAGTGGGTGTGAATGAGAAGCAGCAAAAAAATTTGATGAAAAGCAGCAAAACAACAAAGACAACAGTTGCAGCAGCTCCTGGGGACTCTTCCAGTATGTTTCTAGCGAAGCCTATTTTGTATAACAAGGTGACGAAGAAAAGTAGTGTAGTTCCACTGGAATCAAAGCCATATCTACGTAAAGGTTCAGGATTTACCTCTAGTGTTGGTCTTGTTAACAAGCCCAAAAATCCTTCTCAGTTAGAGGACTCTTTGAAAAACACTGAAATTTCTAATGATCCTCAAGAGAGTGATGTGATTGTTAATGCTTCTGTCTTGGTGAATGAGCATCAGGATCAGGATGTTTCATCACAGGATCATTGTGATGAAGCTATTCAGTCAGAAACACAACTAAATGGCCATCAGAAATGTGATGTGATTGGGAGCGTTGATGAACTTGCTCCTGACTTTGATGATGGCTTAAAAAATATTCCCGGTTCTTTCCAACGCGACGAAGAATCAGCCATCTCACCAACTGCTTGGGTGGAAATAGAAGAGCATCAGGACCTGCCTAACCAATGTGATGAGAAAACAGGTGAAATTAAATCTTCAACCAGCATTGCACCTGTTGGATCGGCAAGTCCACGTGTCCGTCACTCTCTGTCACAGATGCTGCAAGAAGAAAGTAGTGAGGGCGATACTACTGAATGGGGAAATGCTGAAAATCCGCCTGCAATGGTCAATCAGAAAGATGCACCCAAGGGATTGAAGAGACTGTTGAAGTTTGCTCGGAAGAGTAAGGGGAATGCAAATATAACTGGTTGGTCTAGCCCATCAGTCTTTTCTGAAGGAGAGGATGATGCAGAAGAATCAAAAGTTATTAATAAGAGAAATTCTGATAATCTACTGCGAAAGGCTGCCCTTCATGCAAAGAAATATGAGCAACAAAAGTCATTGTTGACTGATGGCTATGAAAATCATTTGGATTTTCATGAGCTTCCATCTGGTATATTTTCTCTTCGCCATAATCATTACATGCTTATTTTCTGTCAAACTGTTTTCAGTGTTTCTCGAATAGATAGAATCTAGATGGTTATAGGTCTAAAGCATAGAAGTAATTGCTTTTATGCTTGTGGCACATTATTCCGTAGCTTATCTGTTGTCTCTTCTTTGCTCAACTTTCTGGGAAATACCAAAATAATTATAAATATTACCATTCCCAGACTCTTTACGAGTCTCATTATCAGAGTACTGTGCATTTTGTGTATGCAGCTCAATCAGGCATTAGCACGTTTGATGCCCACAAATTGCACAAGGGCAGTGTCTCAGCTGCTGCCTCCACTACTAAAGGTCAATTTCCATCTTCCTTACTCTGTTGAAGTTTCCGTAGTTCCTTTCCCTTATTTTCTGGAATAATTGTTTATTTTCTTTTCAATTTGGGACTGTATGTTTTGTAGTTTGAATTCCAATCTTCTTTTGCCAATTTTTTTTTTTCAGGAACAAGGTCATTCTTCTCCCTTTCAGCATTTAGGGGTAGTAAACCAAGTGAGACAAAGCTTCGCTAAGACTAGGATCATTTATAAAATTCGAGGTTATTGACGTTTGCTCTCTCCCAGTCCTAGGCGAACTAAACTTTGTTGGAGCCAAAATTTCCTCTGCCTTTCTCTTACCATTTTTTGGGTGTTTCTTTTGCATGTCAGCAATCGTGGATCTTCTCTAGGCTTGTCTTTTGTGTAGGTGGAGTGTTCAATTATACAGTACGTTGCAGTATTAGGATTTCCATCCTGCTAAACATATTGTTATATGTGAACCACTATGTTGAGGACATAAAACAATGATGAATTAATTGATTTTCCTTTTATGAGCACACATTATAACAAAATTCAAAAATTTCAAGCCTTGCACTGTGGAGTCCACAGACAGCAAGCTCTCATCTAGATTCTTATTTCACTACATGGAAGCTTTGGAGCACTAGGGATGTTAAGTGGGAACTGGCAATTGTATAGTAGGGATGGTAAAACAATTTATATCTTAAGAGTTTCAATTTATTTTATCTGATAAAAAAAATTTTTTTTAAATTCAAAATCAAGTCAGAGGTGAAATGAGTATTTTTTTAAAAATTGAAATTCGTCAAAGACAAGTTTTAGATATTTAATTTATCTCATTTCGAGATATATTTAAAATATATATTTTATTATTTATTTATTTATATATATATGTATATATATAAATAAAATTATTATTTTTACTTTAATTTAAGATGTTAATTTAAAAAAATATTATATTTATAAATAACTAAAATATAATTAATATTAACAATAATATTTTATGAATATTACATTAAATTAAAATTATTAAAATAATTTTAAGTCAGATGCTAATTAGATATAGATTATACATATATAAGTTAGGTCAAAATCAGATATAAAATAAAATAATTCAAATCAAAATCGGATTGGAATAAAAATGACAAAAACTCATCTTGACCCGTTGTCACCCTTATATGTAGCTTTGGATTCCCATTTATTGACACTTTCAGTTTCCTATGTTTGATAAAAGACTAAGCAGTTTGGTGGTTCACTTAATTTTTCAGCAATGAATATTGTTGTCCGGTTCAGCAGCTACTGAATTCTTAGACAACTGGCAGAAATGGAGGATTTCCAGCTCAACACATCCCTTATTCCCGTTTAAGACCATGTGTTCGCATTTCAATTGCTTTGATATTCATAAAAGAAAGGGGCAAGCGTGTGTTTCAAACTTCAAAGTATGGAGCTAAACAACTAATTATAGTTCAACGATTTGTCGATCTAAATTCAGAGGTTTCTCCGTTATTGCTTTAAACAACAATGTTAATGATAGCGTAACAATTAGGTTTTACAAAACTACGGACGGTTTCATTGGTTGGACGGATGCTGAAGCTGCTTTAGACTAAGGGTCAATCAAAACTATTCCACTAGAGATCGCACCCAGGCTCTGCATCGCTATTCTCCGGTAAAAGACCTAGTTACTGTTCTCAGGTAAAATAACCGGAGTTGTTATCAAACAAAACGTTCATCGAATAAATTCATAAATATGCTTGAATTTTATTCATTTATATTCTTTATTAAACTTAATAAATAATTACGAACACATTTCAATGTTCATTAATTAAACAAATAAATCATGAATATAACAAAATTTGTTCATATACGAGCATTTACACCCAAAGTATTAAAAAACAAAACATCCACCAAAAATTTTATAAGCAGACTCGATTTCTATTTCTTTATGTTCAATTACTAAATTTAACAAACAATTATAAACACTATTCCATGATTCGTTAATTAGATGAACAAATCACAAACATACTAAAATTCATTTATATTCAATTCGTTAATACCCTTAAAAAAAATTGCAATCAAGCATTATGATAAGCAACATCGCAGGACTAATATGGATCCTCCTCAAGGCTAAGGATAACTATATAAGAAAATTTAGATACTGTGTTGCTAAAATAGATCTCGGGAGATGTGATGTGGGCAATAAGGAAAGCACAAATCCCCAGTCCCTTGTTATTTCCAACATGCTAACATACAATGCAAAGAAGTTTCCTGCTTAACTTTTGGAGCTGCAGCTTATCTCTGGTTGCTGATAAAGCTGCTGCAAAACAAGAATAGTCTTGATATGCATAACGAACACCCACCACCTTCTTTTTCCTCCTTCACCTTCATTTCCTTGGCTTGATAACATTGTAAACATCTTCACCTTTTCAGCTAGCTTAAAAGCACAAAGGTCTGACCCTTTGTCTCTATTGAGCTGTTCAATGAAATTGTGAATATGAGAATTATCACAAAGAACTCTGAAATATGATCTTAACTGAGCTTTGTATCTGTTGCCAAAGATATGGAAATTCACAAGATTTTGAATTCAACAAGCATTAATAGCAAAGAAGCAGTTGAAGATATAGCAGTTAAAGCCAAGAAGCAACACATCCACCCCTTGCAGCCAAATAAACCATAATTAGATTTGTTAATACAACCGGCGATGACTATTATTACTCAATGACAAACAAGTACAGTTCTAATACTGTTTTTGGCATAGATATCTCAACAGAGAAGTTAATTATGACAATATTCATCAAACTTTTCATATATTTGAGAGATACCAACTACAAGAATAGCTAAACCATCATAAAAGATAAATGCAAAAAAGAGATCAATTCCAGAGTGAAAATGAAACCTTTCACCCCTGCATCAATATCTAAGCTGATCTCAATTACTGCTCCCCTGAAAAATAAGAGGATCCAAATGGCTGTTGCCCTGTCATTTGACAAGTCCAGAATATTGCTGTCCTCCCATCTGAGGGAAGCCTGATGGTGGTTGTCCTGCCATCCGATGAGAACCTGATGACTGCCATCCAGCCATCTCAGCAGGTCCTGAGGGTGGCCGTGGTGGCCGTGGTGGTTGTCCAAAAGCTCGAGGTTGAGGCCTAGGGAATCTCCACCTATTTTCATTTAAAACTCTATCAATCTCTTCATTCCGCCCAACATTCCCAAAAGCCCCACGCACAAACTCCTGCAATGCAGGAGTAACACCAATAGAATACTTCATCATCTAGTCCAGTATATCTAGGCTTTTGTCAAGCTCATCAGCATCACAAAGTCCTCTGACTACAACATCATAAAGAGCGGCATCTGGCTTAGGATCTTTCTCCCCCATTTTAGTCAAAAGTGATGCGGCTTCCATGTTCTTCCCATTCTTGAGAAATTCACTGAAAACCCTAGTTCCAAAACTGGCAACCACCACCAGTCTCAACCATCTTTGTGAATAACTGTAAAGCATCATCAACCCGCTCTGCTTTCAAGTATGCATCAATCATGGTTCTGTACATTGGAACATCTGGTGTCAACGACTTTCCACACAATTCTTGAAAAAATCTTTCCGCCTCAGATAGCATACCATGCTCACAAAACCTGGTGACGATATTATTATAACCAGCAACATCCATCGCAAAAGGCTTGGATCCAGGCTTCGTGCCTACCTTCTTAAAAGTTTTAATGGCCTCCTCAAAATTCCCCAACTTGAAACACTCATTCACCATGATATTAAAAGTATCAGAATTCGAAGCCTGCGTGTTAGGAGGGGTATGATTATCCAGCATATCTTCGAACAAGGCCCAAGCTTCCTTCGTCTTCCCATGTTTAAGCAAAACCTCCAAAAGTGTATTACAAGTGGGAGGAGGCATCTTAAATTTCCTATCCAACAACGACTTATACGAGTCCATGGCTTCCTTATCCTTTCCCTGATTAAACAACCATTCCATAAACGTAGCATTGACAACTCCATCGTAAACCAATCAACGCTCTTTCAACTCATCAAACAGCTCATTGGCCTTGTTCAAATTCCCCAAATTCAAAAACCCGGACAAAAGGTTGTTGAAAACTAAAGAGTCAGCACCGTGCCCTTTATTCAACATTTCCCTGAGCATATCCAAGGCTTCCCCAATCCTCCCAGCATCGATCAAGCCTTTGGTCAAGTGCCTATAAGTCACAGGAGAGGGGTTAAACGGCGCCATCTCCAAAATCTCGTGGTAAACTTGGATAGCAGTATCAACTTCACCCCTATCGCAATGCGTATTAATCAAATTGTTGTAAGAAACAACATTTGGTACCAGATCAGATTGCTTAAAGAAGAAGTGAAAGAGAGCAATTGCCTCGTTGAAGCGTTTGTTGCGGTACATGGCGGCAATGATGGCGTTGCAAGTGAAGACAGTGGGGCGAGTGGAGGAGAACACGGAGGAACGAGCCAGGAGAGAGGCGGCGTCTAGGTCGGAGGCGCGGATAAGGGACTGAACACGGTTGTGCAGGTTAAGCCGATGCCCAACGAGGGCAGAGGTGCTGTCTGGAAGCCGCGGGGCATTAGGGTCACGAGTGGGAGGGGCAGACGGGGCTGAGGCACGGAGGGCGTGTATTGGGGGCTCTAAACGCAAACGCCGCCGAACTGCCGTGGCTTCTTCTGCAGAATTGAACCCGTAGGAGCATGGGGTGGGGGTGGGGACGGGGAAGGAGTCTGAGGATTTTGGATTGGATTTTCGAAGGCAGGGTTAAGCGCAACATTGTGACGTAAGCGAGAGAGGAGAAGAGTAGGGGTGGCTTTGGGACGCTGGTGGCGGTGATTGAGGGAGCGACAGAGGGAAAGGCGGAATAGGGGCATGGCTCAAGCGAGTAAGAGAACCCTAAATGCTTCAACCCTACATTACAGCAGCTTAAAGTAACCTTCGACTTTGGAGACTCTCTCTCGGGGAATATATGAAACTAGCTGATAGTCGCGAACGTTCTTGCTGCTCAAAATTTTCTTTAATTTTGTTATTTTTATTCATTAATTTTTTTAATTTATTTAAATTAAAATTAAAAAATTAAATAAAAATGACACATTGATGTCTAATTAGGTCCCTTATTCTCACAAAATACGTAATAAAAAATAAAAATTTAAAACAAAAAATTATAAAAATAAAAGAAAACTCGTAGAGGATTTTACATAAACAATCTCATTGAATTTAAAATATTAATTTTTTAATTTAAAATATCAAATAATAATTTTATTAAAATAATCAATATATATACCTTTATATATTAGTTTTAGGTACGTACATAATGCATGTGAAATTATTATCTTTAAAACTTTATTTCAATAAATAATTTTTTAATAATATGATAATAATAATTATAAATACTAATATAGGTAAATTTTGATAACCTTTTACATATTTTTAAAAATATTAATAAATATTAACAATTTAATTTGTTTTTTATATTATAAGTAAAATTTTATAACTTTTAATGTAATTTTGATTTTCATAACATTTAATAAAATTTTGGTAACCTATGATACAATTTTGATAACATTCGACATTAATTTGATAACTTATGATATAATTTTGGTGATCATTAATATAATTTTGATAATTGTTTATAAAATTTTAGTAACCTCTTAACGTAATTGTAGTAATTTTTGGCAACTTATTATATATTTTTAGTAATTATT